AAAAAAAAAAAATTAAGCATATGGAATAATACCCAAAAAAATTGAGCATGATTGTTGGATTGGATTTGATCATATATTTTACATAAAAATCAACTCTTTATAATTATAGTAATGGAATGATTGAAGATATATTTTCACGGAGTTGCATTCTAGGAGTGTAAATGTAATGAAGAGAATCAAATCAAATTATATTTATTTAAGTATGGTATTATATATTTTGTTTTAGTCAATTAGGAAATATAAATATAGTATGTCCGAACCTAATTAGTTGGAATATAATTATATTAATTTTTATTCGAACCAAACTTCCAAAGCATGTAATGTTGCCAAGTAAGCTTTCGAAGCGTGCAAACCAGCCATTTACGCTCAGCACATTTTGTAATTATATAAATGGAGGATTATAATGTAGTAGAAAAATAGTAGAATAACAAGTGGTAGTTAGTTGTGACTGTTCTAGATTTTATAGAAAATTATGCAATAATAATTATTTTTAACTTAAAATTATGTTCAGAAAATTTTGAATCAAGAAAAAATAAATGATTGAATAATCTTTTTAATTATTTTTTATTTAATAAAAAATAAATCGCACCAGATAATTGTATTTGAAAAAAAAAGTGACAAAATGAAACACCGATAACCGCAAATAATTAGGTGTGCCCTGACACCTTTGCTAGGTGTGCCAAGGCCTTTGTATAATACAATTCTTCAAAAAGCACGTGAGGTAAGATTTTTTTTTTTCTAGAAATGGGACATGTGTTTCATATCTATTGGATAATGAATTTTATAAATCATATTACATAAATTAAATTATCATTCATATTTTATATTAAAAATAAAAATAAAAATACCAAAATTCATAATTTTTCATTCTCTACAAATAGAGACCGCATTTGATAGGTTTTAGAACACAATTAATTTATCACTTTTCACAATTAATTTATCTTATTGGAAGATGAAGACGCAAATCCATAACAAGATGAACATGTTACATAGTAAGATGAACATGTTACATATTTACACAATAAGATGAATATGTTATAAAATAAGATGAATATGTTCCAAAATGAGTTGAACATGTTATAAAATAAGATGAACATGTTCCTGGCTCTTCAGACTCAAGGGTGCAAAAGGAGAGACAAAAAATGGGGAAAGATAGGCACCACACCGTTTTATCAATGTCAGTATAATAAATTGATTACGAAAAAAAAAATAATTAAGTTAAAAAAACCTCTCAAATGTGGTCTCTATTTATAGAGAATGAAAAATTATGAATTTTGGTATTTTTACTTTTTATTTTAATATAAATCATTAATGATATTTTAATTTATCTAATATGTCTCATATATATATATATATATTAATTTATCTAATAATTTATCTGATTATTTTTTAAATAGTAACTATTTCCCTCAAATAAATCTATTTAATGTTTTAGGAAATTTATTTAACAATTTACGGTATATTTCAATTGATCATTTATGGAAATTTAAGCCATATTTTAAGATACTTTAATTACTCAAATCATGTGAATTAATTAATATATGGTATATAGTGGACGAATTTATTTTTGGTGTTAATGTTGTTTATATGGGAAATAAAATGATTAGTGTATGGTATAAGTAAGCAAATTTATTCAGATTATTTGATAACTGATTTTTAGTAGGAACTTTGTTAAAAAGTTAATCAATATACGTACGGTGTACTTTTTTTGTACTGAGCAGACCAATATATTGGTTTTTACTTTTTAGGCGTGGGTTTCAATTTTAATTTCAAATTTTCGTATGAAATCAATGTAATAAAATAATCGTAACTCTGACAAAATAATATGAACGGATATTTTGATATAATATGCGTGTATTCGATTAATTTTTTATAGAAAAAACTCTGGTTATTTTTTTTATAAGTAGTTGGTCTCGATTTAATTCATTTTTTTTTACGACATTTTAAATAATTTTTATGTGAAATGCGTTGTTCATTTTTTTAGCATGATAAAGAGTGTCGATTTATTTTTTTGCATAAATAATCTTATGACTGATTGTTTTTACTAAACTACTTAAATTTTTTGATTTGAATATTTTATTTAAAAATAAATTTATTTTAATTAATTAAACAATATAGGTTTTATATTTATACTTATTCTTCACATAGGTTTTTAAATATACGATAAAATTTACCAAAATAATTATTTTAGGGAATCACGTTATAGTCAAATCGAATTTTTGAAATGACACATATTTCGAAACGAATATAATGTAATTTATTATATGTTTTGTGCAACGCGCGGGTTGTGTACTAATTTTAAATTGACATTTTTATGTAATTTTGCACAATTTAAATTTTATATAAAAATTTTCAATAAATTAATATAGGTAAATTGTATTACATACTGATTCCATATTTTTAATTTATAAATATTATTTAATAAAAATCTTAATTTATAAATATACTAATGAATATCTTCTACTCATGAATCGCACAAGATTTGTGCTAATTTTCAATAAAAAAAAGAAATGGCATGTGTACTACAATTTTTCTTTTTTTTTTTTTAATTTTCGAGGGTGAATTCACGCATGCATAATTGTCCTGCCACACTAGATGTGTCAAGACATACAGTAGTGGTAATGCCTTGTAACCCCCACGTTTATGAGGGCTCATGCATTGAAGTGTCATTTTACCGTTTACGTGACTCGACACTCCCCCTACGCCTACCCCCATTATATATATTAATTAATGCATTAATATTAAATGACAAATTCAATTAATATATAATTTAAACCGCAAAGACTTTTCTCTCTCCCCTTTTCTTCCTCTTCTCTGTTCTCTTCCCCCAGTTATTAATAATAATAATAGCTGTAGCTGTAGAGTAGTAGTCGGTTCACTACACGTGCACTTCCACTCTTCCCGCGTCAAATTATACCAACTAATTATCTCACTACTTATTTATTTTTATTTTTTTATTTATTTTTTTCTCATAAGTCACACTCAAACCATTTGTTTTTCTATCCCTCTCTCAGATTAATCCCCTCAAATTATTGATAGATAATTAAACCTTTTTTTTATTATTTTTTTTTGCTTCACACGAACAAGCCCTTTTGTTCATTCGTCACTGAAACCGAACTGTTATGGTTTGTTGACCGAACGTTGTGCAGAATTTCTTATTTTTTTTTTTTTTTGAAAAAAAATAAACGACTGAAAATATTGATGTGGCCATTAATTGATTGTTATGCTTGTGATTTCAGTTGCGTTTTTCGATTTTTAAGATTACAGATAATGTCAGAGATTAAGCATATTTCAGAGCACACCATTTGAGAGCTTCACATATACATTGATTTGAGAGAGCATAATAAGCATTTGATTCAATGGGCATCATCGAGTTTACCATCTCCACAATTCTATTGTGTTGTACTCTGTTATCGCCGGCAAGAGCCGAGCCGGTTGAGGACGAACGAGCTCTGCTCGATTTTATCGGTAACATTTCCCACACCCGACGAGAGCTGAACTGGAATGACAAAGCCTCTGCCTGCAATGGCTGGACCGGAATCACCTGCAACCACGACAACACACATATCATCGCCATCCGATTGCCGGCCGTTGGATTCAGAGGGATCATCCCTCCAAACACTCTCAGCCGTTTGTTCGAACTTCAAATCTTGAGCCTGCGATCCAACGGCCTCACTGGGCCTTTCCCCCGTGATCTCTTAAACCTTCAGAATCTTGTAGCCCTCTACCTACAGGACAATGAGTTCGAGGGTCCTCTGCCCTCGAATTTTTCCGGCTGGAAAAATCTCTCGGTTTTGAATCTTTCGGACAATGGGTTTAACGGTAGTATACCGCCTTCCTTCACGAATCTGACTCGTCTGACGGTTTTGAGCCTAGCGAATAACTCATTTTCCGGTGTGATTCCCGATATAGGAATCCTCAGCCTGCAGTCCTTAGACTTGTCTAACAATATGCTCACAGGGCCTTTGCCCCAGTCTCTCTTCAGATTCCCTGCTTCGTCCTTTTCTGGGAATAATATTTCGTCCGAAAATGCTTTTCCTCCTTCCAGTCCACCTACACCGGCACCAATAAACCGATCGAGATTCAGTGAAGCTGCCATTCTTGGAATCGTGATCGGGAGTTGCGCGCTGGCGTTCGTCTCGATCGCCCTTCTCTTGATCGTTACTAATCGGAGGAATAAAGAAGATGATGGTCATAAGTCAACAGTCGAGAAGAAAGAGAAGGCTACGAGGAGAACGGATTTGGAAAATCGGGATAAAAACACGAGGCTCGTGTTTTTCGATGGCCGTGGGCTCGCGTTCGATCTCGAGGATTTGCTGAGGGCGTCGGCCGAGGTTCTCGGTAAGGGCGCGTTTGGCACAACATACAAGGCGGCTTTGGAGGACGCGGCCATAACAGTGGCGGTGAAGAGGCTGCCGGAAGTGGTTGTAGGAAGAAAAGAGTTCGAGCAGCAGATGGAGGTGGTGGGGAGCGTGAGGCATGAGAATGTGGTCCCGTTGAGGGCTTATTATTACTCAAAAGACGAGAAGCTCATGGTGTATGACTATTACGAACAGGGGAGTGTCTATGCACTTCTACATGGTATGTTTATAACATCCTGTCTTTGTTTTATGCTTTGATAAGCACTATACTCCATTACTTTCTCAAACGCTCCACTCAGCACTACCTCCTTCCGTACTGCTCCCTCTTGCACCGACTGCTTTATACGGTTTGACAAGTTCAAGTTTTCATGTGGTTTTTTGTTCTGTGATTATAGTCCTTGGAAACTCATCTGTAGCTATATTTCTCTAGATGTTTAACAACTATAGAATTCAGTCTTTATTTTGTTGGAAAGCTCACATCTGCTCGAACAATTTGAGGACTTTTTAAGTTTTTTAGACATGTTTAAGCAAGAGGTCCTCACAAACAAGGAATGGATAATTGTTCCACAAGCGTATTTCACTTGGTATGAGTATGACATTGTATTGGATGATCATTTTTTTTTTCAACAGCCAAAAGAGACGAAAAACGTGTTCCCTTAGACTGGGAAACCCGAGTGAGCATCGCAATAGGAGCTGCCCGGGGCCTAGCCCACATCCACTCCCAATGCGGCGACAAACTTGTCCACGGAAACATAAAGTCCTCAAACATCCTCCTCGACACCCGTCACCAAGCCTCCGTGTCCGACCTCGGGCTAGCCACACTCACCAACCCGATCCCCCGCAACACAGGGTACCGCGCCCCGGAAGTGAGCGACACGCGCAAGGCATCCCAGGCAGCCGACGTGTACAGCTTCGGGGTCGTACTGCTCGAGCTCCTCACCGGGAAGAGAGGGAACGAGGAGGGCGTGCATTTGGTGAGGTGGGTCCAGTCGGTGGTGAGAGAGGAGTGGACGGGCGAGGTTTTTGATGTGGAGCTGTTGGGGTATCCAAACATAGAGGAGGAGATGGTGGGTGTTCTACAGATAGGGTTGGGGTGTGTAGGACGGGCGGCAGCTCAGAGGCCAAGAATGGGAGATGTGGTGAGAATGTTGGAGGATGTTAGGGCTCTAGGGACACGATCTTCCGGCACTAGGTCGACAGGTTCGACCCCTGGGATTGGAGGAGAGTTGTCTTCGGTTTCGTGATTGTTTGTTTTTTTTTTTTTAATTTATTTGTTGGAGTTCTAATAAGTTTGATCACACTTTCTTTCATTTGTTTTGTGGATTAGCTTGGTTTCATGATTTGTTTGTTATTATTTTTATTGCCTTTTGGTTTTGATATTTGTTTGTTTATCTTTTGTTTACAGACCAGATTCAGTGTTTGGAGTCAAGTGTTATGTAACATATGCAGTGATTGATTGGTAAAGGTGTGTGATTTGTGATAATACAGTCTTCTTTTCAGAGTGTAGCTAAGGCATGCCGATGGAACGTTGTGAATAGCAGCTATTTCTGCAGCAGCATTATACCCAAACCTGCACGTATCGGTGTCAATAGCTATAGGACAGGTAACAAGTAGTTGCAGATATTTTTGCTATCTAAAAGAAATTAATCAGAAGCAAGAAGTCTCTCCAGTCTCCACATCATAAATACGCAGACTATAGTAGTTCAACCGAGTATATCGAGCTTCGAAGCTTCATATTCAAGAATCGGTTGGTTACCGTACAATGAGTTCCATCGTTTCATATTCAACAGCAGATGAACATTCCCAACGTCACCAAATTGTTTCCACAAGCACTTAAAAATCACTTACAAGCCTTATGTCCAGGGGGCGTGGCCAGAAATTTTTTTCACCTAGGGCTACAAAATATGCATTTGTTATTCGAACCGAGTCGTTCTCTAACATAGTTAGACTCGGGTTGTAAAAGTTCGAGCTTGAATTGTTTGTATATTTAAACGAGTCAAATTCGAACAACTAATAGAGCTTGTCTACCAAACAAGTCGAGTCGAGCGTGTTCGCGAATAATTCGGTTAGAGTTTTGGGTTTTGGTCTATGTTTTAAAGTTTATTAAATGACTTGAAATGAGTTTATATGAGTCGAACTCAAGCTCATTTTTTTTTTAATTAAACGAGCTGAGTCACGACAAATCGTTTATTAGGTGAGCACGAGTTCGAACTTGAATTACTCGATTCGAAAAATTTAGCTAGACACATCTGTAAAGAAGTCAAAGTATGAAAATAATTTTTTACGTTTAATATAAATTACAAGAATCACATATTAAATAATATTAAAAAGTGAATAATGCATTCATAAAATAATAATTATTATACATTCTAACTAGTCGTGTTTTATATGGAGATGGCCTCATTTAACAACTTGTGAAATTTTTACTACTCTCTTATACATATGACAAATATTTATTTTTAATTGTTTTATTATTTTTCGTTAAAAATGTACAGAGATAAATTTTCTCATGTACTTGAATTTTATTTAAAAAAAATAATTTATTAAAATAACTTCTATAAAACAATGTAATAGACTCGTCATTCTTGTTATATGACATGTCATTTTACGTACATATGTAATTTCATTGAATTTGACAAACGAATAAATGAGATTTAGTAGTAAATATCATATAATGAACCGTCATTTATTTAAAAATTCAGTAAATAGATTGTGAAATCTATAAATTCAATTATATACTAAGCATGCTAATGAAAGTTTAACACAATCAAATATCGTCTCCAATAAAAATATTCATATAAAATTTATTTAATCAAATAATAAGAAATAAACACAAAAATGACATAAAGGGGCATAATAATCTAAAAAAAAAAAGTGGAAAGAAACTTACTTAAATAATATTCAAATATATAATTCATTGAATTAATCTAAAACAAATTTTACTTATTTTGGGCCAAAATAAGATTAATAGTGGGCTAATCTAATATAACATAGACTAAAATATTATTTTATCAGTACAAAATTGGCAAAACCAAAAAATTAAGAATGGGCTGGAGACCCTTTGGGTGGCTCTGCCCCTGCTTATGTCGATTATTGAGGAATTTCATAGTTGGAGGAGTATACTCGTTTCATCCGTTCCTCAAGTGCCTCTATAACAACAAATTTCGTGTACTGAATTTATGAATACGAAAAATATTTAACAAATGATTTTCTCGAACCAAACGAATATTGTGGATTACACTCTCTATTTTCCCCTCTGATTCTTCTCACGAATGATTTTTAGTCTTGGAGCAAAATATTCGGTTTAACCTTCTCCTTGACTTGATTGACTTGAATTAACGTTAATCCATGGCCAACACCTTGATTTCAGATCAAACACTGTAATATCCTAAGAACATTAAGAATACGAGTCCTTGGTCTTCGTCGCAATGTAGATTTTGAATCTTCTCCGCAACGATTTTGAGTTTACTAACGCAATTCGGAGGCTTGATAACTTGCTTTAAGATTAAACATCAGTCCTGAGGTTGAATCTTCTTTCGGATAAAAAAAAACACTTGAATCTCATCGAGAGAATCTCTAGAGCTCTCAAACTTGAATACGAATTGTGATTTGTCTTTGACTTTAGGGAGAGCTCCTATTTAGAAGTGTAAGAAATAAAAACCCTACCAAATCTAAGAATCGTAGGACGCGATTTAATTAGTTCATATGATTCGCATAAGATCTTTTGGATCTACTCAAATCTTCTAAGATCTTTTAGAAGTCATGTGATTTATAACCAAGAATTAAGATTTGACACATGACATTATTTGATTGGCTGAGAATTAAAATATATTAATAAATCAACTTTATAAATTTAGGAATTACATTTATGGAAATTCTTGAAAAATAATAGAAAATATGACTTGATTTTTAATATATTAATTTCTACGTGGTGCCATTCGATTGACAACAATTTTTATGTATCTACAAATGCCCATTCGAGACTTATTCATGGACCGTCTTGGAGTGAAGGAGTCGCAACATAATCTAATATGGGCTTTCGAGTAATATGTGAATTATAAACCTGAAAAAATCTTGGTGAGTGGACAAACCATTTAATTTATCACAATTTGTTGGTGGGCCTTCCAACAAAACCTCGGTGCATCGTAGATAGAGAGTAGTATACCAAGGGAAGCTCAGGCGATTTACTTATTTAAATAAAAATAAAAAAATAAGTAGACAAAAACAAAAGAAAAAAAGGTTGGATAAAAATAAAAAACACGTATTATGAGAATACGTTTTACAATGTAAAACGTATTCTCATAATACGTTTTACTGTGAATAAAATTAATAACGTGATTAAGTTAAGTAAATTAACATAGAACGTGACTAAATTAATTTAATAAAAATAAAACGTATTGTAGAAATATGCTTTATATATAAAATTATTAAAAAAGTATTTCTAAAATATGGTTTATTAATAAAATTAATTTTATATATTATTTATTGCAAAAAATAAATTTAAAAAGCTTAAAAACGCATTCTCGTCTGGGAGGTACTTCATTCCTTTGGTGAAGGAAGCCATTTTTGGATCGTTATTCAAGTGCGATTTCAATCTATAATGGCGAATGTAGGGGATTTGGGTGATGAGGTCACCAAGAAGTTGCAAAAGTTTTCATTGTCTGCGAAGGAATCAGGCGGACTCGAGATTCAGAGGGGTGACATTGTCAACACTGAAGAAGAATGCGACAGAAGCCTATTTGGTAATGTTATTGGTGATCGAAAAGCAATGTTACTGGGCATTAAACGTATCTGGGTGCGATTTGGAGGATTCAACAGGGGATGGAGATGCGTGAACTGGAATTGATTTTTTTCAATTTATTTTCAATTCTGGGGAGGACAAGAAGAGAGTGGCAGTAGGGTACAACTGGATCTTTGAGAATCAATACTTAGTGCTGAAGGAGTGGTGCAGGGAGTTGAATAGAAAACATCGTTGTTTTGATCAAATAAATCTATGGGTTCGTGTAAAAAAATGTTCCTTTTAATTGGATGAGTAGTGACGTAGGGCTGAAGATTGGAGGAGTTTTTGATGGAGTTAAAAATGTCATTGTTTCCAAAGTAGGAGGAGAAGCAGGAAGCTACATCATACTTTGCTACATCATACTTTTGGCTACTATTAACACTAAGGAGCCTCTACCTAGATGCACAGTGGTTAAACTTGAAGACCAACAGACAATGGTTCACTTCAGATATTGCACTATAGCGGTCGAAATAGACAAAGTTTTGAGTTCGAAATTTATATTTTGGGTCAGTTAGTTGTGTTTTCTTTTAAAATTTTGGCTTATCTCGGCTCGATGTCGACTTTATTGTCTAATATAACCAAACTGATCGAACTATATAAAAAATTATTTTGTTATACATGTATGTGTGTGTATTCGGTCTTTACAACCAAAAATAATATAAAATATTATATAAAAATATTAGATTATTATATTGATATAGGATATTATACTAGGCCGGGTTTAATGGATAAAATGAATACATATTGGAGGATAAGCCCACTAAAAAATCTAAGCATAACGATATGAGCCAAGCCCAACTGGAGCCCAAAAGGTACACTCCCCCTATAAAAGGGGGCCAAAGTATCTCATTCTCTGATTCTCTACACATTTTCATTATTACACTCTCTCTCTCTCTCTCTCTCTCTCTCTCTCTCTCTTTCTCTCTCTCTCTCTTGATCTGAGCACTGACTTAGGCATCGGAGGCCCGACGCCGGGGCCACCTCCGGCGTTGGGTTCTGCAAGTACCGAGGCCGTTCGAGCTGAAGGAGCCCGGTTGAAATCTATTTCACTTCATATATTTTTATAATCTAAATAAATCGTAAATTATTTAGATTATTTAGGTTAACTCAGGTAACTGTAAAATAAACCGATTATATCGGTTTTAGTTTGGTTGGGTAAAATATATATAAAAAAAATAACTGTATTTTGAGTACACATTAGCGTTAGATTGATTGCACATTAGTGACTGTCAAATTGCACTATTGTGACCTAAATTCGTGTGTTCGAATTTTACATTTGGTTTGATTATTTGTTGTTACTTTTAAAAATTTTACTTAATTTGGTTCGAAGTCGATTTTTTTTTAGATAATCGAACCGACCAAACTATACAAAAATTGTTATTTTGTTATATATGTATATTTTAGGTCTTTACAACAAAAAATAATATAAATTTTATTAACTAAAAATATTAAAATACTAAATATATTTTTATAATAAAAATTATAGATTATTGAGTATAATTCGGTTAAATAATCAAATAAACTAATTATTTCGTTTTAGTTAGTGTGGGACGAATCATTAAAAGTATCCGCACGAGAAGTGCACATTAGTGTTAGATGAGTTGCAAATTAGTGACTGTCATATTGCACTATAGAGATAAAAAACAATTGGACTAAATTC